GCAAATAATAGATTAAAGTGATATATATATATACATATAATTAAATTGATAGGCATTTACATACTTGAAGACATTTTATCTGGTACACGCACATACGTTGGCGTTATTGACCTTTGCGGCCCATCCTACATAACCATTTAGCAGTTGTCCAATGGCAATGCTAGTCCCGGTCCATCTTTGCGTAAGTTATTTGATTCTCATTATTTAAACTAGTGGGGTCGTACTGAGTCTCTATTTTTGTTTAAAAGTGTTTTAAGAATTATTGTTTGTCGAACCAATTGGTGGTGTTATATTTAATTTTTGAATTTTAATGTCTTTGAGTTATTGATTTATAATGTTAGTTAATTTTAATTATTTAAAAATTTAAGGATAAAATAATTTAAAAATTGTGTACACAGAAGTAGGGAATTGCTTTTATATACATGTATAGATGATTATTATCCATCGCATGTATTAAGTGACAGTTTGGGGTTTTGGGGGTAATACTCTTGATTGAGTGTAGACGGTGATTGGGCTGAATTGACAATTTGGAATGCCATAAGTATTTAAATTTTGTAATAAATAATTAATAATATTAGATGAGATTAGATTAGTGTCATATGGAGATTAGTTTTAGATAATGGTAGTTTATTGAATCACTTACGTGGGAATTGAATATTTATTGTATTAAATAAGTAAATAAAATCAAGATTTATTATGTTCAATGAGTATATATAAATTTCATTTTTTATTGCAACAAAAATTTGTTTTTAACTTGAGAATGCAAGATTTTCATATTCTTATGGTATAATATTTTCTAGGAATGTTATTTTTTATATAATAAATCAAACAAAAAATATAACAATAAAGTATGAGTCGCACGTTAAGTAGAATAAGAAACGTATTGTACATAAGGCATGGGATTTTTCTACCGAAAATTAGTCTTTTGGGTTGACTTTCAAACGAAGTTGTCACGGACAAGCTATTATGGTCGACTTTTAAAAGGAGTGTAAATGTTATGAAGCATATTAACTAGAATAACAACCATTTAGGAGTCTCACTTGATATATAATATTTGAAATTAAACTCTCCTTTGGTAGTTAACCCACAACAAAGGTTGTTTTGAAGGTAATAACGTGAAAAAGAACACATTGTCTCTGAAATTAAGAAAGCCATTAAAATTAGTAAAAGTTGCAATAAACGTAAGCAAATTAAGATTGGGATTGGGCCACCTCTCCGAATTAAATGTCACATGAGCCCACAGAGTAAATCTTGTATTTATGTTGGAACTCAAGTGGTTAATAAATGTGACATCGCCAATCCTAAAGCAAAGTAGCAGTTGAAGGAAGTGATACATACGCATTTGCTTTACCCTCCAAGGCGCCAATCTCCTTCCTAGGCCTATAACTAACCTCCTTTTTATGCCCATGACTAATTGACCTGAGGCCAATCATCTTAATAATTATCGACACACGTTAAATTTACATCTTCCTGAGTTTATGGACTTGGTCCATGAGACTATAAGATAATATACTTATTGTATCCTTATAGGTAAAAGACTAACCTATCATGTTTATGCTATCCAATGTCGATCGAGTTCAACATAAGAGGTTAACTAACTCATTTATCGCTCTAAGTATAATAATTCATCTAAAATGCATAATGAAGGATATAAATCATCACTTTATAAGATGTGCACCCAAGATATGTGGAATGATTGTGAACATAACAGGAAAAATATTGAGATAAAGATTAGGAGGGAGGCCGAGCATCAAAGCCTCAAAACCCTATTGTTAGGTTAAGAAGAGAGAGATGCCTTAAGGGGAGACATGTCTTCATTTTAAAAACAAAAACACAACTAAAAAGAATAAAGAAATGAGAACGATTGAGTACTCCGGCAACGAGATCATCTTTGTGATCGAAACAAAAATACATTACCCTAACTTAACTATTAAAGTAACAATTAAAATCAATAGATTTATAAGATTTTTTTAAATAAAAGTGCTACTATATAGTAAAAATATGAAATTGTTTATTTAAAAATATATTTTATAATTTTTTAAAAATATAAAGTAATATTTATACACAATAAGTTATAAATTTGCTGTAAAAATTAAAAGTTAAGATTTAAAATTTAGAATACCATGTGAATTTATATTCCATTCCTAAAAGAACTAGTTATGAGTTAGTACATATGTTTGGATTAATGTTGAAACTTTAACTTGAATGAACTTCTTTTGATAATTTAAGCTTTCAATCTTTAAAAATGAAACTCAAGAAAAATTTGAGACAAAATTTAGTTTACTATCAAACCCAATTCGAAAGCAAACAATAAGTTTTTCAAAAGGAAATAATTTATTTCCTACAAAACCTCCTTCCAATAATTTTTTTAATAAACTTCTTTTTAATAAATCTGTTGTAGATATTTATTTACGAGTTAATCATTCATACACTACTAGTAAAGTTTTTTACACTAGCAACTAATCAAATCTTTTTTATTATTTTATTTTATTTTTATTTTATTAAATAAGCAACTCACATGACACTATTAAAAAATATGATTGGTTGTCAGTGTAAAAAAACTTTATACTGGCAGTGTATAGGTTATTAAGTCTTTATTTATTTTTATATATAATAATATTATAAAGTAATTTTGTAATAAAAATAATTAAAATAAATAAATATATCAAAATAAAAATAAAAAATAGGTATTATATGATATTTATATATTATATCAAAACAAATAGTTCAAAATAAAAAAAAAAATTGAATACAAATATTTTAATAATTATTAATTATTATTAGATTTATGAAATATTATAGTAATATAAAACTAAAAATATACCAAAATTAAAGAAAAATATTAATAAATAAACTGTTCCTAAATATAAATTAAAAAATGTATAAAAAAATATTAAAAAAATTAAAGAAAAAGAATCAATATATCAAATTAAATGAAAATAATTGGATTAAAATAACTTAGTAATTTCTAATAATTAATATATTTTTGTAATATTGTAAAATAAGTTGCTAATAAATATAAAATAAAAAACAAATGTATAGAATAAAATATCAAAAATGAAAGGGAGAAAGAATAATATATCAAAATTAATGCTACTAAATTGGATATATAAAAATAATTTCATAATTACTAATTATTATTATTATATTTTCATAAAATTCAATTGTTATACATTATAAAAACAATTATTTACGTAAAATAAAAATTATGTAAGAAGTTATCATATTATACATGAAAAAACAATACACAAATTTTTTCTTATATTACTATGATTTGGTTAACACCATCATAAATATTTTAATATAAATAAAATAAACTGTTACTGAAAATAATTAAAAACAAACAAATCAATCGAATTAAAAGGGAAAAATAGAAAAATATATTTTAATAATTACTAATTATTATTAAATTTTTAAAATATTATAAAATAAATTCCTACTGAAAATATTAAAATAAAATTTGGATGAAAATATTTTAAAAATTTCTAATCATTATAAGATTTATGAAATATTATAAAATAAAGTGCTATTGAAAAAAAAAACAAATATATCAATATAAAAAAGAAAAATATAGATAAAAATATTTTTAACATATCATTATTAGATTTATGTAATATTATAAAATAATGTGCCATTGAAAAAATAAATATATTGAAAAATATATCAAAATAAAAAGTAAAATATGAATTAAAATATTTTAATAATTGTTAATCATTATAACCCGGACAAAACAAAAAATAAAAAACATAAATAAATTACTTGACAAAAATGGTAGTCTATATAATTATAATCAATAAATAAAAAATAATATTATCAAATATCAAAATTCTTAAATGACTTAAATCATAAAAAAAATTGAAACGTTTTCATCCATGAATTCTTGAATCGCTGAAATTGTTTAATTAAAAAATATTATTATACTAGAATAATAGTCTATATAATTATAATCAATAAATTAAACAAGGTATTAACAAGTATAATTTTTTTTAAATGGCTTAAATATTTACACTTGCATAGACTAATTCCTCTTTAAAATAGGTTTACATATGTTTTAAATCCAATAAATATGATTTTGTCCAATTTTAATTCTTATATATATATATATATATTTATTTATTTATTTATTTTGAAATGCCTGATATGTTTTTAGTTATTATTATCAACTATTGTTAATTTAATATTGAGATAAAGTATTATTAATTAAGATAATTAAGTTAATAAAAGATATTTTAAATTAACATAATTATATTAATTTAGATGCATAAATTATTTAATTAATATATTTATTATTATATTTTAACCAGATAATTATATATAATTAACCTTTTCAATTTATTTTAAAATTTTAATATATTATAAAAATTATTTTTAACAATTTATTTTTAATATTATATTTTTTTGACAGCTTTAAGCATTGTACTTAAAAGCAGTAGAATTTACCGAGACATTTGTAATTTAATTTTAGTATGTTACTTTTATCTTAGAAACAAAATCCTTAGTATATTAAAAATATAAATTATTTTACAACTAATCGAAATTAATGAAATGAAATACAAAAATGATAAATTAAAAGTACATTATAATATAAGTAAATTATTTTTTCATAACTCAACTCATACTTTAATATGAAATATACATATTTATCATTAAATTAAATATACATTAAATTCGTGTGAAATAATAAGAAATTAATTTTATTTAATTTGAAAATGATCAGACATTAGTCTAAATGAAGTGTCGAATTGGATTCCATTCGTTTAGAAATAAAATTTAACTATATTTGTAGAGAATAAAATCATATCTTATATTCCCTTCAAAAAAAAAAAATCATATATATGCAAAAATACGAATAAGTTGAAAGCTCATTTTAAACAAGTAAAATTCTTACAGACGGTCAAATGGTATTACGATTGGTTTTTAAATTTTAGTAAAAAAAAAATAATTAAAATTCGTAGTTTTTATTTGAAAGAAAAAGCATAAAGAAGAGGGACAGTTCGGACTTTTCAGCTAAACTGGTTAGGGTTTATGATTTCTCATATAAATTTCCAAAATGCAGTGAGGTAAGGATTTCGGCCGTTCAGTCCCCAACAAGGTCTTTCTTCTTCTTCGTCTCTCATTCTGTCTGTCACTTATACTCATTCATTGGCGATGTTAAAGCTCATGAATTTTTTTTTTTCAAGTTGGAAAATGCTGCATCCCTTTGTCTATTAATTTGTTTGCACAATCTCTGATTTCTTTTGTTATTTTTGTTTATGCAGGAAGCAGAATCTGTCTTTTGAAATCAACGACAAAACATGTCGGGGTATGCTAATTTTTACTTTCTTTGGTGATAGATTGCACCTCGTACTTGGTTTTATGGAAGGCGCTCTTATTTATTTATTTTTTCTATGGTATTAATTTTTTAAATTAATATTTAGTAGAACGACGATGCCATATTCAAAATCATGTTATTGTAGCCCGAAAATGGTTCCTTCAGGATTTTGGTGGTAATGTGCTACCTTGAGGTTAGATTTTGGTGGGTCAAGTTTCAATTTTAACATATCGATGTCTCAAAATTGAAATGGTTTTATTGAATTACCGATGTCTTCTTGGTCCGATGAATAGTAATATGGTTTTGACGTTGACCCCTGATGGAGTTTTTGTTCCAATTTTCTGCTCCCTTCACAAGAGTATGGATTATTTTACTAATTTACCTGTTAGAGGCAGAATCACTTTATGATTCATTCATACGATGATTCACTGTATTATAGATGTATGAAGTATGTACTGTAATCTATTTTCATTTTTGGGCATTACCTTTTTCGTTTTTGTTGGATATATAGTAGGCATTGTTTTTAAAAAATTTCATTTGCATTAGAGAAATATATAAGATCTGCTTATGGAAAAAACCTAATTATGTGTATTACATATTTTAATATTTAGAGTGGAAATAATTATTGTAGAAGCTGCTGGTAAAAGTTGTCCACATTACCTATTGTGTGTGTAATGGTCCACTCCTGTTTCTGAATAGCCTTCCCTTGACATGTTTAAGATGCTTGTAAGAGTTCCTCCTGACTGGTCAGAATATTTTAAATATTTGCAGTGAAGAAGGAGCTGTTGCAGTGGAGGCACCTGCTGCTGCAATTCCAGGTGAGCCAATGGACATCATGACTGCCTTACAGCTTGTGCTGAGAAAATCTCTGGCATATGGTGGTCTTGCACGAGGCCTTCATGAGGGTGCTAAGGTGATTGAGAAGCATGCTGCACAGCTCTGTGTTCTAGCAGAAGATTGCGACCAACCTGACTATGTGAAATTAGTGAAGGCCCTTTGTGCAGAGCACAGTGTTAGCCTTTTGACAGTTCCAAGTGCAAAAACTCTTGGAGAATGGGCTGGTGTAAGTGCCTTAGATTTCTTGACTTCAAAACCATGTTACTTCAATTTCTTGTACCATTCATATACTTTCAGTTCCCAAATTCAGTCGGTTAAATTTATATGGGTTTATTTTTTATTTACATCGACAAAGAAAGCCTTATTGCATTATTTTCCTGTATTAAATTTGGTCGTTTTTTATGTTGCAGTTGTGTAAGATTGATTCTGAGGGAAAGGCTAGGAAGGTAACTGGTTGCTCATGTGTGGTTGTCAAGGTATGACTTATATTTTTAAATGGAAATTTCGAGTCTTTGATTTTTATTTTTTAAATATGTTGTAGTCTTTTTGCCATGCCATATGCATGTTGAAGTATTTGCATTTTGCAGGATTTTGGCGAGGAACATGAAGCCTACAATGTTGTTCTGCAGCATGTGAAATCTAACTAACTTTCAGTATGCTTAGATTTGTGGGTTTCAGTTTGAAGTTATTGTATGAATCTATAAGGATGATTTTTCCCTCTATTGAGTATCTTCGTAGGGATTTTGACTGTTTAGTACAATTATACCTGTTCTCATTGTTAGTGAGTGGTTTTTTATTTTTATTTTTTATTACTATTGGTTTTCTGTTTATTTAGACTGACCAGTTGAGTCAATTGCTTATACTTCACGTGAATCAAGTTATGGCAGTATGGGTTAGGATCCCCATTAAATCATGTATCAACAACCCTCTAAAATCCACGCAATTGTACATCATGATATATAGACCATTTCCAACGTTGCATTCATTTGTGCTTTTGCATCATTTGTTTCACTTTTCCTATTGCCTTTCAATTTCTATTGTAAAAGGGACACCATAGATTTAGTTCCAATATGGCTTCTTTAGAATCCAATATTCCTAGATAGATGAAGACCCTTCCAAACACCCCAAATTCTTCTCCCCGCTGTAACTTCCCATTGTAACTGCTAATTTACTGTCTAAATTTTTTGTTGGAAGAATCGCATACCCTGGAATACCTTGCCCAATTCTGCCCTCGCTCCTTTTTAATTTGTTGCTAGCTGCTACTGCATTTATCTTTTACAGTTGTGAACCAATCAAAGAACTCGTAGGCCTGTTCGCTCAGTTATTCAAAGTGTGATGTTGACAAAGGATGTCAGGTTCTCTCTTTTCTTTTGGTACAAGGATTTACAGGTTCACCATAACACCTTATGATTTGAGCCCCATTATTTAAATGATTATAATCCGTCCGTTGAATTAGCTAATAATTTGGGGGGTTTTGGGGGCAATACTTTGATTGGGCTGAGTTGACAATTTGGAATGCCATCTCAAGTATTTTAGTTTTGTAAGAAAGAATTAATATTAGATTAGCTTACGTGATATATGGAGATTAGTTTATGTCATGTAGTCCGTTGAATCACCTACATGGGAATCGAATATTTATTATATTAAATAAGTAAATAAAATCGAACATTTATATTAGTAAATATAAATGTGATATGTTTTACTGCATCAAAATTTTATTTTCAGCTGGCGAATGTAGGATTTTCATATTCAAGTGCTTAATAAATGTGACACCATCAATCCTAAATAAGAGGATTTAGAGTGTTTTAAACATCTAAACAAGTAAAACTACATTCAGTGCTTAACCTGGTGTATAGTTAATTGATAATTTAACCTTACTAACTATAATTTTTTTATGACAGCATTAATATTTATTTTATAATATATAAGACCGGCATTGGTTGTTGAAAACTCGAAGAATTAAGAAAATAAGAAATAATTCACTCACCAACCTAAAAAACAAAAAAAAAATTGTACTTTCCAGGTGCGTGGGTGATTGAATCTCTTCCTTCACCAACCCATGGAGTAGGTCTTTCCCAATTCCCACCACACGCAAATATAATAAGATAATAAATAGTAAATGAAACCATTCAAACAAAATATTTCTCTTCAATTTTCCCATGAGATTATTTGGGAAGTATACACGTTTTTCCATTTGTCCAAAAGTCGAGTCGACAAATTGAAATAGGAAATCGTACACCAAACAGAACATATATCACCAACTTTACCACAATAAATAAAACGGTAATCTGGTCGCTCGCATGCCATAAACCATTGTTACATTAACTTCATTTTTTTTTATATATATTAATGGAACCTTTAAAACCTTTTTTCACTTTGAAATGATCAAGGCCTATTGACAGTTTTTTATTTTTTATTTTTTATTTATTGAATGTGACATTTTTTTTCACTAAAAATAATATTTTTATTGAATGTAAGAATCATAAAGGAAATTTTGGTAATTTTAAAAATGTTATATTTTTAATCTAAAAAAGAACTTAATTTCTACAAAAATGTAATGTTAATAATTTATATTAAACAATGACAAACATTTATGAGCATATATATACGTGTGCGTAGTCATACATATATTTTTTAAATAATAAATTTTTAAAACTTTACATTAAAAGTAAAATGATGAATAAAAATTAACAATCAACTTTTTTAGACCTCCGATCCTCCACATAAGGAGTATAGGTAACAATACTAATACTAGTTTACAACAGAATAGAACTTTCCATGAAATGTCGGATTACTCAAATAATTACTTAAAAAAGGTGTCCAAAAGATCAGATTATATTATAGAACGCGTGTCTGCATCTTAAATATTTTTAAGGAATAAATTTACATGAGTTAAGCTGGATTATGGGATCATGAAAAACTTATATGATTATGCAAGTTGAGCCAGTAATACTAAAGTATTTTTTAAAATTAAACTTAATTATATTTGGCTTGGTCCAGAGCAACTAATTTTTAGTGGGTGAAGTAGGTATGGAAAGTGATTTTTTTACATTAATTAAAATTAAAATTTTGAAAACTAAAAAACTGAGTTCCTTAACAAGGTAGGAAAAAAAAATAATAAGAAACGTAATTTTAAAAATAAGCAATTTACATCATTATGTAAAAGCGAATAATACTATATTTTATACAAGACACGCGAAGCAAAAACATAAAAGAAATTATTTGACACTTGTATAAAACGTAAAATTATAATATTTTATTTGTGGGGTTAGGTGAGTGTGGTGGGCATTGAATTTGGCTATAAAATGTAGTCTCACTCAGACTTGAACTGCCACCAACTTGTGTCTCTTTTTCGCAAAAGCCTTAACATGCCTTCTGCAGAATCATCATCACCTTCGTCCCAAACAATATGTGTCACCGGCGCCGGTGGCTTTATCGCCTCTTGGATGGTCAAACTCCTCTTGGAGAAAGGCTACACCGTCCGTGGAACCCTCAGAAACCCAGGCACTTCACATGCACACTCCTCTTTTACATTTTTTACATCCTACATGCTACACATATATCATTAATTTTAAATTTACTTTGCTTAAATTAAAGTTATGTGACGTTGAGAGGGACATGCATGGATTTTGGTTTTCAGATGATCCCAAAAACGGACACTTAAAAGAGTTCCAAGGAGCCTCCGAGAGGCTAACTCTTCACAAAGTTGACCTCCTTGATCTTGACTCCGTTAGATCAGTCATCAACGGCTGTGATGGTGTCTTTCACACTGCTTCTCCTGTCACCGATAACCCAGTCAGTTTTTTTCACTTTTTCTCTCTCCTTTCAATCTTCTCTTTCCAGCTAGTGCTACAAAAAGCTGAAGTATACATGTTAACCGAAATATAAGTATGTTAATATATTACGTAACTTTCGGTTGTTTTGTTTCTTTTTGTTTGTTGGTTAATATTGCAATTACTTGTACTTATCTTATTGTTGGTCTATACAAATTCTGATACCAAGACAGCTAGCTCTATTATATTATGTGTATAAAATGCTATACTCGTATAATGGAAATTTTGAAGAAGCGTGCGGGGGCAAACAAAAAAGTTTAACAAATGTCCACATTTGAAGCGGTGCTGGTAGTGGATGTGGACCAGCACCGCATGATTGTGACGTTCTGTTTGTTTGATTATTTATCGCAAAGCAACACATTTTTTAAGCATACTCTAATTTATTAAAAATTGCAAAATTGGGTGCGTCATTTAAATTTGATTTTGTACGAAAATGGTGGGTGACATAAAGAATTACGCAGGAAGAAATGGTGGAGCCAGCAGTGAATGGAGCGAAGAACGTGATCATTGCAGGTGCAGAAGCAAAAGTGCGACGTGTGGTGTTCACCTCATCAATTGGTGCGGTGTATATGGACCCCAGTAGAAGCATCGATGAGGTGGTTGACGAGTCTTGTTGGAGTGACTTAGAATATTGCAAGAACACCAAGGTCCGTTTGGCTCCATTTCCTACCCAATAATGCACTTTAATAATGTTTGAGTGGCTTGAATCGGTGACATATGATATTGCAGAATTGGTATTGCTATGGGAAAGCTGTGGCTGAACAAGCGGCATGGGACACGGCAAAAGACAAGGGTGTGGACTTGGTTGTGGTGAACCCGGTTTTGGTTCTTGGACCGTTGCTACAACCTACCATCAATGCTAGCACAATTCACATCCTCAAGTACCTCACTGGCTCTGCTAAGACTTATGCAAATGCCACACAGGCTTATGTTCATGTTAGGGATGTGGCTTTGGCTCACATACTTGTTTATGAGAAGCCTTCTGCTTCTGGTAGATACTTGTGTGCTGAATCCTCCCTGCACCGTGGAGAATTAGTTGAAATTCTGGCCAAGTATTTTCCAGGGTACCCTGTTCCAACCAAGTAAGTGCCATCAATTATGACAATTATCATGAGACACATAACATTGAGTGGTGCCTGACCACAACCATAGAGTTGTGTAAGAATTTTTTTGGTCAGAGATGGTGTGACATCATCCATGGCAATTATCTATGATTTTAATTTCGTCTATTAGTTCATTGAATAGGTTGATTCTTTTCTTCTGGGACGCATCATAACCATAATATGTAGGAATTTTTCTTTAATTTTCTCTCTAAAAATTAAATGAATTGTGTTAATACCAGTTAGGTAAAATGTTAAAGGCCGTGTCATGCTATCCCTTTCTTTCAAATTTGTGTCTATTGGAAAATCCTACTCTTCTTCCTTTAAATATTTTAGTGAAAGAGTAACCGACAATTTTGGTTGATAAAAATTGTCACAATTCTGTTGTAAGTTTTATTGAACTTCTGGAGGTCACAATCTTTGAGGTTGTTTACGCTTGATAAGTGATAAAAGGTTACGTTTTCTTGATTTGAGATGTAGAGTGAAAATATGTGAATATTAAAACATTTCGGAGTCTGAGATTGGATAATGGTTGTGAATTTTCAATGGTGCATGGAGTAGGTATACCAACTTTGACTTGTTTATGTTATACATCGTCCACTTATGCATGCCTAAAATATTTTCAATGATTTTATTAAGTGAAACTAGAGGACCTTACGAGTCCTTACCAAACCCAATGTCGTTGTCATTTGTAACCCCTGACAGCTCTGATCTTTTTACCTACCTTTTCCATTAACATCTTGGCCAGCTCAATAATTATATTAAAAGAATTTTTAGTTATCAGTATTTTTTTTATTGAAGAAAAATGTCTAGTAACAAAAATGTTTGAACATGTGCAGGTGTTCAGATGAAAAGAATCCGAGAGCAAAACCCTACACTTTTTCAAACCAAAAGCTGAAGGATTTGGGATTGGAATTCACTCCAGTGAGTCAATGCCTATATGAAACTGTTAAGAGCCTGCAGGAGAAAGGGCATCTTGCTGTTCCTCCAAAGCAGGAAGATTCAACTACAGTGAAATCCTAAACCTCTTTATTGAATTTGTCAACAAGTTTAATTCAGGACGCGAAGCTGCATCTTTTGGCAATCTGGGCTTATGTTATAATATTATAGAGAATCCTACAATAGAAGACTGTATTTGGATTTTGTAAAAAAGGCATCAACCAAATTGTTACCGTGTTTGAACATGATAATATTAATGGACTTTCTTTTCCTCGTTGAATTCTTCAGTTCCTCAAGTTATTTTTTTTTTTTAAATCTCAAAAGAATTTGTATTCATCAATATTTTTCAAATATCATTAACCTCTGAATTCGGAAGAAAAAGTAAAAGGAAAACAGAAAATAGGTTGTTTAGGCTAATAATGACTTCAACATAAGTGGGCTTTACTCGAATTGATTGACCAATAGAGAAGAAAGATAGAGAATTAGGGATTATTGAATTTGACTTTTCGGAGTGATCTCGAGTATGTTGACTGCTTTCATGTGAGTTTCAAATTAATTCATGCTAAAGCAGTGTTCAACTTTGAAATTTGCTGACTCGAAGGATTTAGCAAATTCTGCCAACTACTTCTATCACAAGAAAATGTTCATCTTAATATAACTAAGCGTAAATTCTTGTCCAATTCATTCTTTACTTTTCTTTTAAGATTGGGAAATTGAGGAAGTGAGTTGAAACTTGAACCTCCCTCTCCATACACGCACATATTGTTGTTTCCATTTCTCACATTAACCAATTACATAAGTCACTCTTTGTGTGTATTAAATTTTAATCTCAAAAGTCTAATATTTTTAATTTTGATCTAAGAATTGTTATGATTTATTTTGATTTCTCACAATAATCAAGTATTTCCACACAAGTCATTTCTCACAAAAATAAAGTATTTTCACACAAGTCATTCCGATTTGGGTCGGCTCTCTTTATTGGACCAAAGTATCTGGTCCTTCCGATTGGACCTTAAAATCGGTCCATAGCTATATATACATATTTGGGATCAAATTACTCAAAAGCAACTTGTAATAACATCATACTGTAGTTAACATTTACTTATTATTTTAAAAAATACTGTATGTGTATTTAGCAATTTGTGTGCGGGCATGTTACTAAATTTACTTTTCTCACTAGATATATTCCTCATATAGTATGCAACATTTGTATTTAAAATTAATTACAATTATACTATTTAATAAAATTTTAAAGAAATTAAAAACTAGCAATAACATGATGACAATAAACCAATATAAATATAAGCTCTATTAAGAAAAAAAATCATAATTAAACTTGCATCAATAAAATATAAATATTATATAAATATAATTATACTTTATTTAATATATACATATTTAATTTTATTTTTAAAAATGTTATTTATATATCGTATTGTGTCGTACCCCATATTTATTCCTACACTTACATGACAGCCCATTCATAATTTCTGTTTTTTTTTCTTTCTTTTGGATGGTGAGTGAGGACTATAAAAAAGTGTTATCCTTCATCACTTCTATGTGTTAACCTTCCATGTTTGGAGTACATTGTGAAGCACTATGGGAGATGGGCTCTTCAAGAAATCTACAATAAGTTGGTACGTTTCATCTTATCATGTAATAAAATTTAGGCCTGAATGTCAATTGAGAAGAATGTGGAGAAAGGATCCTTCCACACAAGTTTCTAACCACAAGAAATAGGCATCACATGAAAATCAAAAGCTTAACAATTCCAATCAAGTGATACAAGAAATCCAATATTACTGATTCTAGAAATTAACAGAATGATATTTATTTATCTGAGTCTATCTTGCTATTCTACCGTCTTTGTCAGTCAAGATCTGCGGGACTACTTCTTTGAGGTAATTGCATGCTTACTATGTCTTCTCTTGGAAGACAATAGATTGAGCCATTGCCTTGTTCATTTGTCATTTGTTGATTTTCTGGTGCTGTTAGAGCCAAAAGGTGTGTAGCCTCTTTATTTTTGCGAAGTACTAGGTATGTTATACCAGTCAAATATATTGCCATGCCTGAAAATCCTAACATCCCAAGAAACACCTTCACCACAACTTTTAAGTGACTATGAAGAAGCAGCTTGATGAAGCCAGTTATTAAGTAGTATATATTAATGGCCATAATAAGGGTACCGATTATCCAAGTAACAGCGGAAATCTGCAATTAACAATGTAAGGCAATTATTATTATGTCCGACAAAATGCAGAACAACCGTCTTTTGTTCTGAAACAAAGTAACTTTGGTGCGTGAAGCAACAACAAGTTCTTTGATTCATTAACATTTCTAAGAATTGTTTTACCAAAAAAATTTACCATGGTAGAGTTGACATGTGCCCCCATCTTGGTTTTGCTGCTTGTAAACTTGAGGAGTGGAACCAAAGCAAAAGGAAGCTCAAATGATAAGATCATCTGATCAACAGAGAAAGAAGGGCTTCAGCACTATGGCATAGAGCCAGAGACCAACTCTATTGTAAACAAAAATGTATGAATACAGTACACAGACAACAGGAATTATATAATATTGCCATGCAGACTGTTAAATATATGATTTATTCCTTGATAATTAGAAAAACTTTTTACGGTGAAAATTAAGGATTCTACTCTATATTACCCATTATTTTTTATTTTCATATTTCCTTATTTTATATCCTTATTCGTTATAAATAGAGGATTACATGTGTAGTGACGACAACCACAATTCCTACAATTACTGTGCAGACGATTTCTTTTCATACAGAACAAGATTCCCTGCTTAATCCTTTTTGAATTCAGCTAAAACCAACACTGCAGTTATGCATAGTAGTGACCACAATGCAGTTGAGTTAAGAAATATATGAGAAACTTCCACGATATTATAGCATAACAATTTAAACAAAATATTGACTTTAATGCAACCATATTTCCAAGTGACAATAAGAGAAAAAGAGAAAATTTGATGGTAAAGATATCTTACAGATGCAATGATTATGAGCTTCCCAGCCCCAGCAGAGCCACCAACAATTGCAACAATCAAACTAGGAATTATGGCTAAGCACCGAGTCAACATATTCCGAATCCATGGCTCCAGTCGTAAATCGAGAAATCCCTGAAAGAAAAAAGAATTCATGGGGAAAAGATTACTAATGCTCCAAAAAAAGCCAAGGTACCACAGCAAAACTAAGACAATTTTTAACTCCAAAGCCCAATAGGGACACATGTTAAAGGATATGACAGGTTTATTGAATATAATAATACCAAACATATAGATACATGACTGTATCATACTCTAATTCGAGGAATTAACGAGTTATGATTGATGTTCCTTACTTTTTTAAAGTGAACTAAAATTACAAAAAGATATGTATAAAAATATTAGTAGGAGTGACTATTATTGACATTAGATAAGATCAACAGTGGTTTTTTTTTTGTGTGTGTGTGTGTGTGTGTGTTTTCCTAGTGAAGATGTATACATATTGTAATTTTTTATGCAGAAAAATATGCAAAAAAAAAAACTACCTGCATGACATACTGCCCTGCATAGGTTCCTGTTATAGTAGAACTTTGACCTGATGCAAGCAAAGCAATTCCAAACAGTTTTGAGCTCCATTTCCCCAAGACATTCTGAGTAGTGCACATGTCAGATTATTATCATCTATTATTTTTGCAACTTACCAATAACAATTGTATATGAAACTTACGGATTGGGGAAAAGCGTAGAAGAATTAGTAAATAAACTTAGCACTACAATATACCCAAGGTAAGAAAGACATCTGCAGGTTTCACATACTCTAAGTAGGAAGGAGGCTTTGTTCAGATCCAAATCCTGACAGCTCAACTGATCTTCTGCATTCAAATTCGAAGAATTGCAAACAGCACCGCTTACAGAAATAACAGAAACATTTATAAGGAATGCCACCATGAGAGCAAAGGCACTTTCTATCATGTAAAAATTGCAAGCCTCCTGTCACAGTAAATTGTTACATAAGACGTGAGATATTTCTTTACCATAATGCACATGTTTATGACTAGGCTTTTAATTGGACCATTTTTCCTGAGATATACAAGGTTAAAAACTTAGCACAACCTTCGAACAACAATTCAATTTCCAAGTTTACTGTTTTAGAACATTCTTATATAAAAAAAAAAAAAATAATAAGGAAAATTCAGTATGAATAAAGACAAGATAGAGAAAGAAGAGAATGGTTTTCATATTTATGATCAAATTACTATATGCCGACTTGTGCAACAAGGGCTATATATTGGAGGACAAAGATTAACCCCAGAAAGATGAATGACATAAATCTTAACAGTTTATCAACCAGCTGAGATATTTGCGAATGCATGGACCAGATAAGGACATCAATATCTACAAAATCAAATGGCAAAACGCACCATAAGGGTTGTCAGACAGTTAAAAGGAGAAAACACTACTGTCAATAAATTTACTACATCTTAAACATCAATCACATTGTTGAAGAAACTGAAGTGAAAGAAATTATCCAAAAACAAACAACATGAATACATTACTTGAACCAGAGATAAATCTTGAAAGGCAAAAAATTTAAGCCTGTCTGCAAAAATTAAAATGTTTACTTTGATTCCCCGAACTGATCTTGGTATTTTCCTTGAAAGCACCAGTGCTGAGTGCAGGAAGAGATTGTGCCTAAGGCAAATGCAAAAGGAAGCATATTATGAAATTATATTTTAAAAGAAAAGAAAAATTAAATGGATGAAAAAGACATGATGAACCCACGGCATAACCATAGCTCCAAGGAGTGAAATTGCAAGACCAGTAGCACCACTCCCTTTTAGTTCTGGCACAAAAAGACCCTTCACAACTTCTTTAGCATCGGGCTTTGCATATCCAAGCTCAGCCATAAAACATGCAGCAATAGTAAATACCAGAAATGCAATCAAGAATTCAAGTTTCCTAACCTGTCCAACAACAATACAAAAAAGCCTCATTGTTTTTATATAGACAGAACCTATCAACCAGATATAACATGCAACGGCAACCATAATTTTTTTAGGATATAAACAGAATTCGGTAAACTACCCCATATTGCTGTAATGCTAAGAGGATCAATGTACTGAGTCCAGTCAAAAGAACACCAATCCAAACAGGTATGTTGAAGAGCATGTTCAATGCAAAGGCTGTCCCGATTACTGTATATGTTCAATAAACAAAATTCAAGGTAAAAGATAAATAGAAGTTGAAGGGAAGGCAGAAAAAAAGAAATGGAAATGAATGGTTTGTTTTAAAAACTAGATAATTTGTCTATTTGACTTTCACTGTTTTCCTCTAGTCGGATTTCTAGTAACCCTGACCAGCATTTTCTTTCACCAATATGTAGCTCAAACGAGTGGTGGAAACAAAAGGAAGGTGAAATTGCATCACTTCCTTAAACTATAAAACTTCACTGATTTTGATTTAGTGAGTCCACTAAGTTAAAAATGAACTTATTGAATACTCGAATCTATTCAATATCTTGGTTATTAGGTATGCTTTAATCAGTGAGCTCAACAACTAAATCTGAAAAAAAAAGCCACATACTATTTACATGTATAAATAAAATTTGAAATCATTCAAAATGCTTGATTCACCTCAATACCTTCAGGAATGTCACAGGCAACTATGGCAATTTCAGCAATAATCCAAAGGATAAAGTTGGGTACCCGGGGATATTCAGCTCTACAGTGCTCTGCCAAGTGTTTTCCTGCAAACAGCAAAATGAATTGAAGGAATACAGAACAAAAAACAAAATTTACCACTCACATACATACCAAATTTATTCAGTAAAACAATTGATTTTCAAATCAAGTACCAGTGACCACCCCAAGATTGGCTGCCATTGATTGAATTACAAGAGCAGCACAGGATGCCACCAATATGATCCAAAGCAACTGGAGAAAAACGAGAGAAAAAAATGTGAGAAAGAGATGAAGGAAGGATTGAGTATCATAAGAATATGTCATAGCACCTCATATTTATATTGTGCCCCAGACTGAAGATCTGTCTCGACTGCAAGTTATTATAATAAAACCGTAAGTGTACCATGTCAAAAATATATTTCCTTTCATTACAGAAGAAAATCATGAATAGTGTGATCTTACAGTTTCCCGGGTCTATATATGCAATTGAAACAAGAAACCCAGGTCCCATGTACGCAAATAAATTTTTCCAGCTTCTCCTCTGCAAAATAGAAGCATACATAAATGGTGGTTATCAATTAAACAACACTTATCAGATGAAGTATTAGTGCAGTGTACTCTACAATCAAAGGAGTTAGGTAAGGTTGCTCCATTATTTATCTCTTTAATTAAAACAAGATGTTAAAAAATACTGCTTAAAACCATCCCCAAGGACTGATGGTAATAAAATGGTAAAAGAGATGGCTGATTGAAAAATTAAATGTTAAAAAAGGAGAGTCATTGGTTATAATCAATAATCCTAATATTCTTTTCATTTCATAAAATGCCAAATGAAAAATGATGATGTCTCTAAGCAGGTCGTTGGTTGGGGGTGTTCTTCAATTCATATCAGTCATTGATCTCTTTTGTTTTCTACCATACACTCTAGCCAGTGCTTCATTGTCAATACTCAATAGAACTGTAACTCAAACGTGACATGAGAATACAACAAACAAACACATGGAATTCCTTGGTCATCTCAAACACCAACTGAAATTTTCAGCCCCTTGTTATCTTTTTTCTATTTACCACGACAAATTCCAATTGTAGGCATGACTTCTTGATTCAGCACACAAAAACAGAATTAATCTTTAATCTTAAACACAGATGGCAAGTTAAAGCAGTGTTGTACTCATCAATTTTACTATAGTAAAACCAACCAAAAACTCAAATAGACTATTAAAAAAAAAGGAAATCAATGAGAACCGAGACTCACATCAGGCACAACAATTTGATTAGTATCTGAGTTCTCAATGAGTGGCGCATTGGAAAGGCTTCGGTTCCCAGTGCTGGAAATGAATTGTGGTTGTCCGGAACCAGAACCTGTGATAGTCATGTTCTCTCTCTCTCTCTTTCTCTCTTTTTTTTTTTTTTTTCTTTTACCTTTCTGCACACAGAAAACGAAAGCAAATATTTGAGTGAAGCAAAATCACACAAGTGGGATCCAATCAAAAACGAATCTTTAGTTTGAGTAAGACGTTGTGAAACAACCCAGTTCTAGATTCGTTTAAAAAAAATGAATCTTTGTTAAGAATAACTAATTGCGATGAAGAAGGTGCAGAACTGAAGTTATAAACTGCATTAGTGCAACAGAAGAAATATGAAAGATTTAAGATTTAGAACGAAAGAATGGAAAAGAGAGTTTGCACATGCATACGAATGAGGTGGAGAAATGAACGCTGGGCAGCCTCTTTCCCTTTCTCTTTCTCTTGTTCGGTTGGGAACTAAGCCAACTTCCACTTTGACTATGGATGTAGAGCTGTATTTATAGCATCATGTATCATCTTTTTTCTCTTCTTTAACTATACTATCATTCAAATCAATTTTCTCTATTTATAATCCCAAAGATCGGACCTACTTGTCAGTTCTCACGTGACACTATCATTTTTTAGATTTAATTTCTTATTTTTATGCATATTATAATTTTAAATTTTAGTTATATATATATAGAGAGAAAATTTTATGAAGAGAGAAAATATTTAATTTGGTGATTTATAATCAAGAAACAATTATTATTTATTGATAAAAAATATTGTCAGTATAAACAATAAATAAATAAATACTTACCATAACTCGTAATATTTATTATATTTTTTTTATTAGCTGTTTATGTAAATTAGATATAACTTTTTGTAATTCAGAAAAGAAAAAACAATGTTTTTTCTTCTGATTTTACTGTTTCTTTTATGGTTTTTTTTTAAGAAATCTCATTTCTTTTTTTGAAATGAATTTGGTATTTTTATTTTCAAAAAAGTCATCAATAGAATTTAGAATTAATTATGTGGATATTTTTTGAACTTGACAATAATTACACTAAAACCTTATTTTTTTTATTTTTTTTTACCTATTTTTTATGTGTCCCTTGCATTACTAATTTTATATGTTCTATATATCTGATTTATATATAAAAATATATAATATGTATAACTTTTTTAAAATAAAAATGTTAAAACATAATAATAATTATAAAATAAGAAATTTGTGTGTATTATAAATTAAATAAATTTATGTATAATTGTTACTAACATCAAGAAAAGTGAACATAATTACGTATAGAAATTATATTAGAAATATTTGAGTTAGTATGAAGTTTATGTATATTTTGTAGAAGGAGAAATTTGGACCGTGGAAGGTGTGGTGAGGAACCATTCTGTAGCCAAGAAAAAAGCACGCGAAGGCAAGTCGCCACGTAAGACCAAAAGTTCAAACTTAGGACCCACCACCAATAGATTATAAATAATTGTTACCATTCCCAACACACTGACGAATGGTTCAAATTTATATTTTATTTAATGAATTTCTTTATCATAATTTTTAATAAATTATGTTAAAACAAGGAGTATATTAGAATACACCTAGAACCAGAACGACCCGTTCTGAAACCTGGAACGGGTCGTTTCAGATGCAAAATTAACACACCAACAGTGTAACCAGAACGGGCCGTTCAATAGGCTTAAATATGTTTTTAGTCCCTCAAATTTAAGATAAATTTGTTTTTGGTCCCTCAAATTTAAAACTGTTGTTTTTAGTCCCTGTAATTTTCAAAAATCTTGTTTTAGTCCCTTAGGTCACCAATAACATATTTGAAAGTGACTAATTAAGACAGTTATGCAATATCAACCGAATTTAATGTGATATTTTCACTAATAAGAACACCAATAGGTAGATTTTATGCAATAATTTTTTATAAATTTCTTAACAAAATTTGAATAAAAGGACTAAATTAAGATTTTTTGAAATTACAGGGACTAAAAACAACAATTTTGAATTTGAGGGACCAAAAATAGATTTACCCTAAATTTGATGGACTAAAAACATATTTAAGCCATTATAATATCATGAGTCAACTACCCCAATAGCTTAAATTATTAGGTGAAAACACATGAATGATTTTATTTTATATTATATTTAACACAGCTCCTCTGAGCATGAAGAAATTTTCTTAAAAAAATGCAACAATTGAAAAATCATAAAGCAAACAGAATGCAAGTACATTATTTCACTAATCAGGAATCAATGACACAACGAAATTCATTTAATTGTTTGAAGCATTAATATTGAAACTATCATGCAATCCCTAGCATTTCATAGGAATATTTCATTTAACCCTCTCCAAAGTTAAAATGATATATATGCTAATACGCATATCAAGGATTCAAGATTAATTTTTGAAATTTGATGTTAAATTCAATACGAAAGAACAAACATGCAGAAATAATGTGTATGGAATTACCTAAATATTATGGCATTAGACTCATATGCTCTCTTCCAGTCAACGTATATTGGCAAGGTAAGGAGATAGTCTGTGTTCAATGCAGACGTTAACATTAGGTCCCTAGCTGACAGTTCTTCAAATTGTGCATCCGAAAGAAGCTGCATGAAAGCACATTGGAAACGAGTAGCAATGATAACTCTGCCAGCAAATTTGGAATAATGAGTCAATCAAAGCACCGTTTTGAACAAAATGGAAACAGAGCTACAAAGAAAAAGGAAATGTAAAGATGAAATGAATAATACACAAATAGACATCTACTTTTGTTTAAAGATACCTACCCTGGCCTTTAGATTATGTCCACAACTTAATATAAAATGTTAAAACATAATCTACTCTTCTCAAGTTCGCTTTGATTTTGAGATTTCTGATTTGGTCTGCCAATGAAGGATCTAAGGAACCTAATTTGAAATTAGAAGGAACCCAATTCATTTTAGGAAAAAAATATGCTTAGAGAGATAAAAATGAGTTTATTGAGAGAGTGATAAAGTTGGGATACAAACAAGATCCCATGTAGTTAAAACTAATGAATATTATAACCCTCCTTGATAAATATATCCCTTCCACACAATTATCATAACATAACCCCCTAACAATAGTATCATAATTATTGATTGGATTCACTGACTAATTCTACTGATTAAAAGGTTAGGTCTTTTGTTTGAAAAGATTATTGTTGGAAAAAAAACAAAATCTCAAATCCTTAGAACAAAAAGAGAAATAACAGTTTATAAAGTAGTTAGAAGCCTTTTGAGTGATAACCAAAAGTAAAATCATGAGAGTGAAAATTCAAGATGAACAATATCTTACCATTGTGAAATTATGTATGCAAATACCCTAAATAACCGATAAAACAATAAAGATATAATCCTCTTCTTGATAAAAGTATATCCCTCTCAATCAAATACAAACCCAGTAACCCTAACTGACACATGAAGTATACATTCCTCTAATTTTGATTATTTTCCAGCTTGTGATCCTCTTTAGAGGAAGCACATTAATGATGATAATGTATGAAGTTTTAAACTACATTTACTCGAACTTCCTGGCATAGTTTTTTATTCTATTTTCATCTACAGTTGGTGAAATGAATTAAAAGAAGTGCAATGTTTGGCCCGTATTAATTAGAAATGAACAGAATGGTGTTGTTGGGACAAACCTGGAACCCGTGTCATAATCTTTTTTGGTAGCTATGTCGAGAGATCGTAAAAGAGCATTGAGGTCCAAACCAGGGTAGGGAAGTATAGGTTTTTCCCGTTGATCCTGCTGCTGCAAAATATCCTGATAGAGCTTCCCTTCCTCCTCAATTCTAATGAGGTCATTGGTAACAACCATGTCCGAATCTTTCCCATTGGGCACAACTTGTGTCTCTGAATTGCGTGTTTGGAGAGAACTATTGGTAAGGTGATAATCGGAACGCATCTCCTCTAAGATACTTTTGTGCTCAGCATGAAGTATGGAGTCTAAGCATCTGTTAATAATGTTGAGTGTGAAGAAAGAGAGAATAAATGAACATTGAATTGAGAATGAGATGCGTGCATGCATAAAGAGAGAGGGAGAGAGACATACGAGGTGAGAAGGCGAAAGTGATGGGCATCAGCATCGTGTTGGATTTGGTTAAACATGGTAGAGAGTATAGCATCTAGAAGTTGGGACTTGGAAACAGGGATGTGTTTCTGTCTGGGGACTTGTATTTTGGAAATTCCCACTTCATCATCATCATCATCATCATCATGGTCCCGTGGATTTTTACTTTTAGAGTTGGTGGTGGTGCTACTGCTCTGTTGATAGGGTGGCTCGACGAGGGACATTTGCTGAAGCCGTGAACAAGGAAGCCTGATACAGATGCTGCCATAAGCAATAGCATGTGATTGTAAAGACGAAGAAGGAAACAATTGTGAAATTGGAACAAGAGCCTTGCTCGCACAAGCACAACAATATGACATCTGGATTCCTCACTTCGATCGCTCACCGCATCACTTCATGTCAACTGCTACTGCTACCCTCCTCTCCACATTCTTGATAAATCGGTATCCTATATTGTATGGTTCTCAAAATTACCCAAAACGCACATCACACTCATTAAAACTATATCTTTATCGAATACTCCTTAAATTTTACACTACATGTGATGTCAGTAACGTGCTTTTGTGATTTTTTTAAAATTTAAATAATAATGAGGGATTAAGTGATTTGCGAGAATAAAATAGGATAAAAAATATATATACAAAACCTAGCACATACAAAATATAAAGATTAAAAATCTATTTTGGTCCTTTATAATATTTTTTTGTTTCAATTTAGTCACACTTTAATTTTAAGTCTCAATTTAGTCTCCAATAATTTAAATCATTGCAATTTGAGACTTCCGTCTAAATGATTTAAACGGAGTTAACTGATAGCCACGTGGATGCCACGTAGATGCCACGTAGGTGGATCCTAAAATATTTGAATACACCTAGAACCAGAACGACCCGTTCTGAAACCTGGAACGGGTCGTTTCAGATGCAAAATTAACACACCAACAGTGTAACCAGAACGGGCCGTTCTGGTTTCAGAACGAGCCGTTCTGGTTCCAGAATTTCGTGCAAGTAACCCAAGTACAGAACATTCCGGTCCGACCGGCCGGTTCGGTCCGGTTTTTTAAACACTGAGTATTATAGTTCATCTGTATAAGATTATATTAAATTATATATTCCAGATAGTTATATTATGAACTACTCTTTCCGTTTTTTTTTTCATAGTCATTTTGTCAGAGTTTGTTGTTTTTTTTCATTGTCATATTACTAAAATTAATGAGTTATTAATTTTTTTCTTCTATTTTTATCCTTGATAATTAATACATGTTTTCTAAATAATGTGTGTATTTATTTTTAATGTCTACTTAATTTTTTTCTAACTACTCATATAAAGTTAATGTACATTTATAAGAGTAATATGTTTCTAACAAAATATTATAAAAAAATTAAAAAAAAATGGACAACTATTTAATGAAATAGTTCAATAATCTAAAAAATAAAAATAAAAAAAGATAAAATAAAAAAATAAGTAATAAATATTTTTAAAAATTAAAATATCAATAATTTTCTTAATTCCCGTGTAAAATCTAAAAAAGAAAAATAGAGGGAAGGGCATCGACAATAAATGACATGGAAGGTCCTATGTTGTACGCAACTAGGCCCAGTTTGGATTCTGCTAAAGGGACAGCACCACCACAACTCATTCAATGGCACACCTTTTTAGGGTCTTCAAATTCCATTTTTCTACAAATTCTCTTTCACTTCGTATAATTTGTAATTAAACGATAATAGAAGTGGGCCCCTAACGCATAGTCCATGGCTGTGGGCTAAAGACAGATCCATTCCCACAAAATTCTTTCTTTTGAACCAAAAATAATATCTACAAACAGACCAAACATTAAGAGCCAACAAAAACACACCTTTCTGATCAAAATCTACAGTGCAGCCCAAAACACAAAAAGTCTGACTGCCACAAGCGTTTTATAATTCAAACAAAAATATTCCTTCAAAAATATAATATCTTTTCAAATCTTTGATGTCGGAGTTAAAAAAAAAAAAAAAAAAAAAAACAGCGGATTACAATTTAAATGTGTGTAATTTGACTTCTTTGCTTTTAATTTCGTGATGTTATAGTTTTCTATTTCTTTATATTGAATACAATTTTTTTTTCCTGTGTGTAAAACGCTTATTTGAAAAGTTATTTTTTATAGATATTGCTTAACATGTTAATAATAATCTTATATAACTTAAACATATTACATTTAAGACAGAGGATTTTGTTGTTTAAAATAGTTTTACTTAACTTAAAAAGGATTGTCTTCTGTGAAAGATACTACCTATGATTTCTATAAATAAAAAAATATATATATATATATATATATTGAAAACAACAATGGAGGATTAAATTTGGATTTTTTATTAATAGGGTTTAAGTTGGTAAAACAGAGTAGTGCAGGTCTGAGATAACCATGAAATTATTAATTTTTTTCAATATTCACTCAACAAAAGATGTTCATAGTAAATATTCTGAAAATGTCGAGACAAGAAAACGATCCAAACCATTTTCAATAGCACAAAAAGAGGGAAACGAATATGCCTCCAAGAGAAATTTGAGGGCATCCAATATTAAGATAGAACTGAATACATATATTCCCTAATTCCATACTTAGGTTCTAGTTGCTAGTCCTTAGTGTCTTGGGCCTATGAGATTCTTTTTGAAAGCAAATTGGGCTTTATTATTTCAAAGGCTTCACCATAAGTGCGTCTGAGTTTAAGCACTAATCAATAGCAAAGCATACAACAGCAACATCACAAACAAAGTTTTATCGGACCAAGTGAAGTTATCTACATTAATTACGCGATGTCCTTAGACTTGATTGAAGATCAAAAACTATGCAAGAGGGAAAAATTGAGAACAGAGAAACCTTTTTTCTGCATTCATAATCATCAAAATGCTTGCAAGTTGTGTTTATTTGATCATCAAATTAACTAACTATTATTAAAGTGGCAGGAAAAATATTAAAGAATAAAGTATAAGAGGAGTGTATATAAAGTAATAGATAGAAAAATGGGATAAAAATAATGTGATAGAGAAAATACATGTATATAAGAACTTTCTTTAGAAAAATCATTTTAAAAATTTAAATACATCAAATTTTATTATTTTGATCAATATTTTAAAAGTAATTATACTTTATTAAACACACATTAATCTTCCTTTTATCCCTTTATTTTGTGCCGTCCATTTTAAGGTCAATTTGCCTAAAACTAAAATAAAATGTTAAATGGTCAGGGGATGTTTGATAAAAAAGAAGTTATATAAAAAAAATCTTAAAAAGATAGTTTAAACAAATACATAAAAAAAATTAATTATTTTATTAAGAGTTTTATTTTAGAAAGAAAAAAAGATTACTTGTAACACCATGTTTTTTTAATTATATTTATTTTTATAAATAAAAGTAAGTATTGTATTTCACTTTGTTTTGTTGTTGTAGCTTTAGTGAGGTGAAAGTTAGAGTTGAGATAACTTTAAACTTAAACCATATAAGATAAAACTTAAATATATAAGAGTTGGTCCAAAGAGGACTGAGGTATATAAGGAGAATTTTAAGAAATGAATTTTATAAGTTTATAACTCTAGAATTGTAAAGAGAAATTAGAGAGAGGGCTCTAGAAGGCTGAAAATCAAGTGGTGGTGGTTCTGCGTGATGTTTCACGAAGCTTGTTTCTTCTTCCTTCGTCCTTGTTCTCTTTAAATTCGAGTTAAGGGAAGCTAAATCCTTTATTTTTTGGTGGATTGTTTGGTTATTTATTGATTTGTGAAGTTGAATGTCTTTGACTCCATGAAATTCATGGTTGTGTTGGCTAAGTTTGAGTTGAGTTCATGTTGAAGTTGGGGGCCTTGGTGTTCTTTAATGAGTTGGGCAAAACGGGTGATCTGAAATAAATGTTGGTTGCATGTGTTGTTCCTTGCTAGAATTGAGTTGAACATGATGTCTAAATGTATACTCTTAAGTTGCATGCATGTATTGTTGTATGGGTTAAACGAATTTGAGGTTGTTCTTAATTTGTTGGATTTTCTCGAAGTCATGCATGTTTTTTGGGTTTGGTGGCTTAGAGTGTTTATGGGGGGCGGGGTCGCTCAAAACAAGCTCTAATGGCAGTTCAAAGATGCTATCTAACTTGGGTCACTTTGAACGAATTTTGACCTCTCCAAGTGAGTTGTTAGGCATTCTAAATGAATTTCGACCACTTAGAGCGAGTTGTTTGGCAACTCAGCTCTAAGTTAGATGTCTAGTAGCTCTTAGCTAACAACTTGGTGGTTTCAAGCTAGTTCTTGGTAGCTTTGAGCTAGTTGTTGGTAACTCCAAGCTAGCTATTGGTAGTTTCAAGCTAGGTGTTTGGTAGCTATAAGCTAGTTATTGATACCTTTGAGCTAGTTGTTGGTTATTTACATGATACATGATGAAGATTGAATGTAGTTCTTAGTATACAAGTATATTGATCTATGATGATTGAAGTTGCCTATTGTCGTTTAAGTTGTTAAGGTTGAAAGTTTTTTACTATTGAAGTTCATGATGTTGATTTAACCTATTCCATTATGAATTGAACTATGATGAATCAGTTGCATGATGGAAACTTGTTGTTTAAGTTATTTTATTAAAAAATGATGATGAATAAGTTGTATGTGTGATGAGGTATGTTGATTAAATTATATGTTATAAGTTGTTAAATGATTTATGATGTTATGGCGATAAGTAGTACGATGAAGGATGTATGATGATATTTGTGTTGTAAGTTGTAAGTTGACATGTTAAATGTTGATAAAGTTGTTAAGTTGTAAAGTTGCTAAGTTGTTAGGCATGTGGTTGAAATATATGTTCATTTAAGATACATAAAAACTAAATGAAAGTAAGTGATGATTTTGAAAACTAAATATCCTATTGTGCGAATATGAGTTATGGTCCTCTAAGAGTTTAAATGTTAAAAAACCTTTAGTAAGTGAGTTGACTATTAAACGGTAAGTTGTATGTTGTTTCCTCTTGAATTTATGTGAGATTTATATGGGTTCAAGTCGAATCATACATGTATAAATTGACCAATTGAGTAAAGTATAAGGTCAGGGATTTAGTCCTTAATCGAGTATTGGAGGGGCGTAGTATTTGGAAAGTAGTTAGTTGGCTAATCTCGTAGGTGGGTTAGTGATGAAAGCTAATGTCTTGGTAGACCTATACTCAAATTATTCTATCCTGATAATAGTATTAGACTCCCTAATTTACGTGAAAAAACCTAAGAAATTAAATTGAGTTTTTAGTTGGCTTGGTTGAGATAGGTCACATGTTATGATTTGGTAGGGTCTATTTAAACTGCTTACCTATGTTGTATGAGATCTTCTAGTTGAAATGTGAGATGATACATATAATTGTTGTGTTGTGCATATAATGTGTTGATTGGGCTGTGTTGTTCATATGCAATGTGAATTTGTGATAAAATGTGTTGTTGTGTTGTTCATATGCAATGCGAATTTGAAATGAAATGTGTTATTATGTTGAAA